ACATCGAATCAATGGAAATGCCTGCATTTACAGAAAGAAAAATTAGAAGGTGGCTCTTACATCAATTCTTCATTTTGAAAATTGCTCTTTAGTCGTAAGAATTAAGTCTTGGTTCTGCCTTCCCCACAGTGGTGATTTTGAGTCATTTTAAATTGTACTGCATATGATAATGTTATTTTGGCTAGATGAGTGAATCTTCTTATCTTTGCAATGTATCCTGCGAGAACTGCTCTTCGGCACCTCCTTCTCAGTGCGGGCCCCGAGTCTGCCTGAACATCGGCGCTTTCCCTTTCTTCAGTTGAGAAATCAGAGCTGGTTTGGAAGCAGGTGGCCCTGCCAGGAGGGCCACAGCCTCATAGTTCTCCAGCATCACATCCCTGTACAAGGCCTCCTGAGGAGGGCTCAGGCGGATCCATTCATTCTTGGTGAAGTACACAGCCACCTCCTCGAAAGTCATGGGCTACTGGGGGCTGCCTGTGGCGGACATTGCTGGCATCTGACCTTTCATGCCCTACTTGGAGCGTCACAGGCCCTCGGCCCCTCAACCAACAGGCTGTGGGCACCTCAAACCGTTTCTTAAGGAGCCTGCTGGCTGTATTTCTTTCCAGACACATTTGTTTGTTCTTCTAGCAGTCCATGGTCCTTTCAACGTTCTTCACCAACACCTGCATTGAAATGCTCCCAACGAATCCCTGTGTAGCCTTCCTCATCAACTGTCCAGCTTTCAGACGGTTGTGCCATGACTGAAAAGACGAGGGCTTGCTCCAGGTGCATCTCAGTCCACCAAGTGCTGTCTTTGTGCTCTAAGACATTTAAAAGGTCTTGCACCTTTTCTTGACTGCTGCTTCTACGCGTATTTACTGTGGATATCAGAGAAATGAATAAGTCACAATGAAGGATCGGGATATAGTTCATCCATTTAGGAGGCAGCTGTGCCAGTAGCCGTGCCTCTCTCTGGTCACCAGCCTCTAAGTTCCTCAGCTCTTGGCCTCTGCCTTACCCTGGCAAGTGTCACAAAGCTTGTTTAGTGCAGCTGGGGCTGTCCAGTTCCTTCGTTGCAATATTCTGGTTGAAAGAGTCTATGGGCAAAATCTTGTAATGCAGGAAAGATCAGGGTTGTTTGTTAAAATCTGTCAAAGGAACAAACGCATCTGTCTTGGAAGAAGTACAGCTAGAATGCTCCTTAGAGGCAGGATGGCGAGACTTCATCTTACATACTTTGGACACGTTGTCAGGAGAGACAAATCCCTGGAGAAGACCACCTTGCTTGGTAAACTAGAGGGGCAGCAAAAAAGTGGCAAGTTCTTGACAAATGGATTGACACGGTAGCTACAACAGTGGGCTCAAGCATAAGAACAGTGTTGAGGGTGGTGCGGGATTGGGCAGTGTTTTACTTTGTTGTATATAAAGACACCATCAGCCGGAACTGACTCGATGTCACCTAAGGACGGCAATAAAGGCCTAAAGGACACGCTCACCTGCCAGAAGCATCAGCAATGGTGAGGTGCTCCGCTCTAGTTGGGAAAGTTAGCAAACCTCAACTCACCCTCACTATCATTGAGCTGATTCTGACTCATTGTGACCCTGGAGAGTCGAACTGCTCCTGTAGATTTCTGAGACTGCAAATTTTATGGGAAGAGAACGCCTCATCTTTTTCATCTGATCTTTCTCCAGCAGAGCAATTAGGTGATTTCAACTGCTGACCTTGAAGCTCGCAGGCCATATCATAGCCCACTACTCTTCTCTGGGCTCCTGTTAGCTAGCCTAACTCCCCTGATTAAGTGCATGGAGGCAAACTCTTCCAAAATAAAGCCACCCGCCTAACAATAGCCATATTTCTTGCTCCACTATTCCTTCTCATGCTCATGATGCTGGTGCCTGTTTCCACTGCTTCTCCACCACTCATGGCTACCCTCCTTGCCCTTCTTTCTTGCTGTCCATGAAATTTTCCCTTCTTGCTTTTGACATGGTTCATGTTATATCCAACAGGATGGAAAAACCAACCAATCCCTACCTAAACATTCTGTATATCCTTCATACATATGTCTTCCCAGTAACTTGGTCAGAGTTACCCAGAGCCCTATCAAGTAATTCATTGCATTATATCTCCTTTTCTGGTTTTAGTTTGTTAATATCATGTGTGTTTTTGTGATATAGCAGAATATCCAAAATATTAGACAAACTACAGATCTAAAAATGTTTACTTGAAATGCATTGTTCTAACAAATATTTCTTACGTTCACGTGGTACAGGACATTGTGTTAATTGCTGTTGCAGAGGAAGGATTGCTAAGATGAGTCAGAGAGAAATTGTTGTCAAGGAGCTTACAGGAAAGTAGGAGGCTGTGGTGCATAACGTGAACCATTAAAAAGGATTCACTTTTACCTTTGGTTACTCTCTCCCTCTGTGTGTGTGTGTGTGTGTGTGTGTGTGTGTGTGTGTGTAAAGGGGCTAAGATTACTTCTGAGTTGTGGGATTTTCTGGAGAAAATGGCTTTTAAGAGAGTCTTTGAAGGCCAAGAATGATTTGTCACATAGAAGAGTGAGAGAAAAAAGAATTCTGGTCAGAGGGAAGAGAAGGAATAGATAAGTGGTGGCTGAAAATCTAAATTGCATACCTGAAATAGCAGTTCAGTTTTTGTTGGAGCTAAATATGTATTAAAGGGAAGTGATGAAAATAGCTTTGACTAGGTGGGCAGTCATCAGATCATGAAAAACATGAAAGTTAATTTAAAGGGTTTTTGTTTTATTCCATTCAGATATTCAATTTTTTTCAACAAAGAAGTTCTATGTAAAATATAGTTACAAAGACGATATCTTTGCCTTTAATTATCCCACAGTGAGGAGTCATGATTAAAGACTGGTTAGAGAGCAATGCCCAATACTTTCACAAAGCTGGCAAGAGAGATTATTTATTATAAAGCCCCATTCCTGAGTTGTATTGCTTATCCCGGGGCCTCTGGTTGGTTGTATCCTCTGATGACTCCATGTTTTCCAAACTCTCTAATTCAACCTCAATGTGTTGAGATCTTGAAATTATCCTGAATCTAACATTTGTCTTGAATCTACCTTGGACCTTGAAAGCTACATGCCACCCTGCACCCTTTGTGTCCACTTCACTATTTTTGAACGGTGGCGACAGCACACACACAGCAGAACTTGGTGTGAATTGATGGTGACCAGGTCCTCCAAATAAGAGACCCAAAGTTCAACTATTTCTTTCAGGCACAAGTATTTTCCATGTCTCTTGGTCACTCTTCTTTTTAAGATTTTTGTAGACTTCCTTAAGAAATGATTCCAACATCACTGGGAGGTAAATGGGCTGGTGAAAATGGGGAGTCAGGAATCACGTTAGAAGTTTCTTACAGAAATACAACTAGAAGAATTTACATAAAACCTGAACTAAAGAACCCTAGTGAGATTATGGTTTAAATGTTTGATTATGATAAGAAAGGTTAGCAGTTCAAAACCACCAGCTTCTCCTTGGGAAAAAGATAGGGCTTTCTCCTCTCATAAGGAGTTAGAATCTCATAGGTGCAGTTCTACCCAGTTCTACAGGGTCACTAGGAGTCAGCAGGGACTCCATGGCAGTGAGTTTGGTTTGGGAATTTTGAACCAAGGAAAAGGGAAAGTGAGAATATAAAGGAAGGACTATTTTCCAGAAATGCTGCAGAGGAAAACTTACCAAGACACAGCACCTAATTGTACAGAAACGGAGAGAAGGCGAAGTCCCTGGGCTTTGAGCTGAGAAAACAGGCTGGGTGGTGGGGCTCTTAGGAGAACAATAAGAAGAGCAGTGGAAGGCACAATTTTTAGGGTAAAAAAATCATGTTGGGGCATATTGAAAGATCTGATGAATAAGTATCAATAAGGAACACTTGGAAGTGAGGATTTGTTACTTGGAGCGGGATCAGGCTGAAAGTATATGCTTGAGAATCATTTGAAGTTTTATCTTAGATTGAAATTAAATTACACTGCCAAGGAAGAGAGTTAGTCCAGGAAAGAGGTCTTTGATGAACACCATGGAATTAGGGATAGGATAAAAGGAATGAGAGAGGCACATGGACATGCACACACACACACACACACACACACACACACACACACATACACACACACACACACACACACACGGGGCGGGGAGAGAGATCAAATAATACAAAAATTATAAGGAGCATGGTGGTGAAATGAAATAAGTATGTATGCGTCTTCTCTCAATTTCTCTATAACTCCTACCAAGTGATTGGGTGAGACCATGCAAATAAGGTGTAGAAGAATCAAACTCAGGGATTGGTCAATTTTTTCCTTCTTCTGGGTATAAGAGTCATCTGAGAAGTAGGAACAGATATTCCAGAGACCACCCAAAGAAGCCAAGACAGAGCAGAGAAGCCGTAATGTCCAGACCATTAGAGAGTAAGTCAGAGGGGCAGGAAAGCTTGCTTGAGGCCAAGAGAACATGTGGTTGAAAGACTGAGTATTAGAAGGACACAACGCTGTTGGCTGAAAAGAGCTGCTACTATGGACAAAAGATGGTGTCCATATACTTTTTTTTTTAATCCTGTCTTGTGGTAACATGCTCACATCCCCCAGAAACCCTCATAATCATGAGTATTGTCTGTCTGTTCTGCGTGGTCATTGCAACCGATTATTGAACCCAGCAGGGAAGTAGAGTGCTCTGGGAGGGATGGTGGGTGTCAGAATTGGGTCAAGAAGGATAGAGCAGGAGACAGGTGTGACGTGTGCTGTTTGGCAATTGGTCTGTGGTTGGTGTGGACTTGGCAGTTTCCTTCTCCCTCAGTAAGCTGGAGCAGGTCTGGCACGGCTTCTAGGCCACTTACTCAAGGGCCAGACAACTAGGTATTCTACTTAGTTGTGACAAAGGTTTCTTTACCCATGAGACACACTTGTAAACACTTTTTCACAGATAGTTTTGAAATGCAGATGTACTACCCTCCCTTGAATTTAATCCAGGACAACACCTCTCCAAAATCAGCTTGTTCCAGGGAAAAAACTGTATATTCTCTAATTCGAAGGAAGGCACTGAGAGAAGCTGCTGAGCCCTTTCAGGCTATTCGCATCTCATGAGTAATGCCTTGGGATATGATCTAATAAAGTTATATATGTAATTGCAATGGAAGAAAATGGATTCTAGTCAGAAGCGTGTTAAGTTCAAATAGTTTATTTAATGATGTCCTCCTCGACAATCTATAAGTAAGCAAGCATTCAGATACTTCTGAGCTAAAATCTCATTAGGACATTTTGAACATTGGGGCAAATAAAGTTCATCTGTATCAAAATTTATATTAAATGGCCATATCGGATGAAATGTCGGTTGGGAGAGTCCTCTGGAGGTGACCCCCAGAGCGTGTGTCATTTCTAGACAGGTGATTTTCATGTGAGCTCCATCTGCATGGTGTACCTGGAGGACTGGCTTGAGGAAGCCCAGGAGATTCACACA